GTGGTGCCCATAACCCTCCTTAGCAGGGTTAAAACATGTTGGCCCACATCTTCAGGCACACACAGCCTCGACCTTCACGTGCACAGAATTGACCGAGAGTGAACAAGTCACAGTTTATATTGCAGGGCTTGTGAGCATGCACTCAACAACATGCACGGCACATTAATCATGCCCGTGCAAAACAGATTATCACGTGTCACAGATTTATGTATAAATACATTTGGATCTGAGTAAATCTGAACTGAGAAAGAACAGAGGGAACAAGTGGCCTACATTGCAACAGCAGAGCACACAAAGGCTGACGCACTTGGCTTGTCACTGGTCCTGCAAATGAGACTATCAAAAGAACAGGGCAAGAGGGAATTTCATTTGGAGTTCAGATTGTAAAAGGTTTTTTTACAGACAAGAAGGGCAGAAATTCCAGTTAAATAAAGGTACCTTCATCTGTAATACTGATGCTCTCTTAATTCTACCATGAACAGTCTCTTTCTTTTCTCCACCAAAGAAAATTTGACAGTCACTTGGTGTCCTTAACATCTCTGCAAGACAGTCGTAACTCCAAAATGGTACAGAGAGAAAAGCAGAACATCTTCACTATGCCCATTACTTCTGTCTCAGACACATTTCTTTCTAAGGCCACGAACAACTATAATTTTATTATCTTTAATGTCTTCCTCATCTAATTTCATTCCACTGTCTGTCCCAGCTGAGGTGTATTGGGTAATAACATTATAAACTCTTTTTAATCCTGCTGTTATTTCAGCCCACATTGATTTATTGTGAATCCGGAGTTTAAAAGTGTAATATTTCTCATTCCACAACAAAGCTTTGTCTCTAGCTTAATCTATATTCTGTTATTTCAGAAGATAATCTGAATCTATTCAGGTCTCTAGAATATGTGTTTTTATAATTTCTGCAACAAAATCCCCATTTGTTTAATTTTAAATGTACATTTGAGTTTTCAGGTATTTTAATAAAAAACCCCACATTTTAATATGCTTTTTTCATTAAAAACAACAACACTGGAAGAAGAGAGATAATCTCTGTAAGAAGAGAGATAATGTCATATATAGTGCCTTACCTCAGAGTTTGGCCTTAATTCAAAGAAACACATCTATTCAGCATGTGGCAACGCACTGTTCTGAACACTAGGCCTGTGCCTAAGCTCCACTGAAGATGAAACATATGGGTCATCTGAGCTGGAGATGTTCCACAGAAATTGTCAACACAAAATATTATGGTAAAGAAAATTCAGCGCATCAGATAATGCACATCTAAAATGATAAAAGTTGAATTAATCCATTCTGGTGTTTTCTCATACCAAGAAAAAGATGTAAATACCACAGACCACCTATAAAGACTTCAACTTAGTGTTTGTCACTGTTCTATGGGGAACAATCTAGCATTACTTATAAAGGATAAGACAGACAATAAGAAAACTTTCTATAAACCAACATTTGCTATTATTTGCAGCAGCTGCAACCACCAGATTTCTAGAGAACACATGACAGAAATAGTGATTTTTACAAACAAAACGCTATGAGGAACTACTGTTGCATAAGGAAAAAACAGTGAAAAAATGCCCAATGAGACTGAAAGACAGCAAAACTGAACAGATAGATTTTAACACATATTAACTCATGAAAGGGGGGAAAAAACCCCAACCACCATTATTCTGATCAATATCAGATATTACTGAGACCAACATCACACAAAAGCAAATCAGTAACTATGGAAAATCACAATATCTGCATTTGACACAGCTGAAAACACTGTAAAGGAGTATTGTCATTATACTGGTCACAATACAGCTCGGGTGTGAATCAAGGACAAAAGTTCTCGTGTACACAAATTATTCTATAAAACCAGTAAGTTTTCATGTCCTGTTTCAAAAGTATTTAGTTTTGCCCCTTGTACGATTTATCTTCATGAGTCTGATCAAATATGAAACTTCCTATGTAACTTCCTTCCTATAGCTCAAGGAAATTGAACAGTGAAATTAAATCATGACCTGATACGATCTTATGGTGCCACCTTGTGATGCTGCATCAGAAGTGCCGCCAACACGTCCACGGAGACAAAAATAAGCCCTTCGGAAAAAGGAAGGAGATTGTTTCTATGTGATTGGGAGAAATTGCAAGAGATTCCAACCCCGAGCCTGCTGGCAAAGAGGACCAAGTGGTTATCGACTAACAAAAGAGCTTTCAGCTTTTTAAGATTACATTAAAAGGGCATGAGAGAGCACAAAGAACTGCAGCTAAAACCCAACTGTTTTCCTCAATGCAGATCCAATTACAGAAGTACGAGTTAATTCCACTGAACTCAGCAGAGTTACTGCAGATTAATTCAGAAGTAATGAAGATCAGGTTTTGGCCTGCAGGCTGTTATATGTCTTGGCTTATGGTATTTCCTTAAAACAATGATAAACTAAACTGCATTAATAAATAACATGGTTGTTGCTTGCTTTTTGACACTGTTTTATTCGCTTCCACCAGCTCCTTTTTGTCCCTAAATTGCTTTGAATGTATATAAGCTGGAGATAACACACACGCACTTTTAGCTATTTTAATAGAGGATTTAGGTAATACTTTTGCCTATTTTTGAAGGCAGATATAGAAATGTCCATTCATATTCAAAACCTTTTCTGCAATACAAAATCTATATCCTCTTGCTTTTAGGCCACATCCAACATTGTTTTAAATCTCTTCTACTGTTTCGGTTTCTTTCTCAATAGCCTGATAGTTCCTTTTGAATAAATAAGCTGGTTGAGGAAACACTTACTAGTTAGCAAATCCACTCCTCATTCACTCAAGACTCTTGCTATAACAAAAGTTTCAGTTGTAATACATCCAACTACAGACAACTAAGAAACCACAAACACAAAGCTTCTTTAGAAATGTATCCCTTAAGTGGTATAACAACTCACCTACTGCTGGATAGGATTATTTTGCTCCAGAAGCATTTAGAGTACATCTCTCTCACAAAATCCAGGAACACACTACGTTGATTGGGGTTTTGTTAGAGGAAATGAACATAAATCAGGAAAATAAAGGGAGTTAAGACAATTGCATAATTTGTATCTATCTGCAGTATTCTTTAACCGTGGACAGGAATATTCCTTTGCAGGGTGCTCCTGATTTCTTTTTCTCTTTGTTTCTCAGCCTAGTAGAATGACTCAAGGGTTAAATACCTGACTGCAAGCCCAAGTGTCTCTTCAACTGCTTTTCAGGTCAGGGAGGACAGGGAAACAATACACCGAGTAGTTCAAAAGCAACTGAGGTCTTCCTTTAAGTGGAGAGGAGGATCTAATTGTGGAATAACACAGTATGAGGAAGGAAAGAATTTTAGCTAATAGAAGTTTTAAAACATAGAAAAAGAATCCTGATGTCTAAAGGAAGTGACCTATGTCATCAGCACTGGATCCTTTTTGTCTGAATCATCTGATCCAGAATCTTGCAACCTGGTATTTCACAATACATACTAATCGTGTCAGAAAAACACACCTCATGAGGCCTTCAAGATTAAATGAGGCTTGTCTTGAAAAGAATAAAAAACTATTAGGCTGATATTTTCAGGAATAGGAAGTCATTTTTAGCATAATCTCTCTTAACGCTAACATCTTGCAAATTGTTTGAACCAACCAATACATCTAAATTAATCTGCTCAAAATGAAAAGGATTGAGGCTTGAATCTCTTCTTACTCTACCAGAACTGAGTATCAGGATTGATTTATGCTGATTTTAGCTTGGGTGAATAAATCAAAAGGAATTCAGGTTCTAATTCCTTTATCTTAACAGAAGCCAGTAGGAGGAAGTATTAAAACGCTATAAATAACACTTAATACGATCAGTCTAAAAAATATTTTTAAAATAGAACCAACTGTTAACATACAAGTTTCATTTTCACTCTGCTGCCTCAGACAAGAAGTCCTACGTACCTTGAATATGCACAATTTCTGTCAACGCTTTTAGTGAACAACCACACTGATAAACGTTTCTTCTTGGTGCATACTGTGTAAATTCGAACAGCAAGCTGCACTGCAAGCTCTCCATAGATAAAGGGCTCCAAGGTAAAGCAGCAGCAGCCCAACAGAAATAGTAAAAAGATTATTTCCTCTAATTTAACAATGTTTTCAGTAAGAATAACACATCTCATCCTTGGAAAGATTCAACTTTACAGTTATTGGAATAATGATCAGAAAGGAAATTAGTATGTGCTTAGCCCAAGAATCCCCAAAGCATGATAGAATGCATCAAAAGTTTTAATTGTGATGACTTTGTTACAGAAGCCATGTAAGTGACAGAGCCCTTCTATTGACTGTTAGAACAGTAATAATACACATATGATTGTCTTCAGGCCCCAGTACCTAAACAATACTGGAACTAACAAAAAGAAAGAATAATCTAGCTGATTGCCAGCTGGAGAGGGAAGAGAAATATAGAGCTACATTCATGCATTTTATGGGAAAGATTGCATAGCTGGTTTAGAAAGAAAATGTCTTTTCATGTCCTTAGTAGTAGTTCTGTGCTTCTTTAACTTCTTCATGAGTTACAGATGATCAGATTCTTCCATTCAACATTATCAGCCCCTAGAATGCAGCCCCCCCCCCCCCCCCCCCACACGTCACACAACAA